CTGCAGACCTGGAACTAAAGTCCAGGTTTTAGACCCTGTAGGAGCCCTGCAGACCTGGAACTAAAGTCCTGGTTTTAGACACTGTAGGAGCCCTGCAGACCTGGAACTAAAGTCCAGGTTTTAGACCCTGTAGGAGCCCTGCAGTCCTGGAACTAAAGTCCAGGTTTTAGATCCTGTAGGAGCCCTGCAGACCTGAGATCAGCCCATGACAAGGACCAGCTCCGGCCTTCAGCGGTCTGTGGATGAGACCAGACTGGACCTTGAAGGGGTCTCCACCAACGTGACCGTCTGAACCACAGCAGGAGCTCAAACATGGGAACAGATATTTCAGTAAACGACTGGAAAATAAAGTTATTTTTACTAAAAATCTGCAGTTTCTCCTCAGAGCAGCTGTGAGAGACACCAGCACCCAGARAGTTTCAGTCGTGTTTTCACCATCAGAGCTCAGCTTCACCCTCATGTGTTCATCTTAAACTCCTGTTTAAAGTTTCTCAGCTTTAAAATGTGACACTAGATACATACTTGTACACCAATAAATACCATAAATATTCGTGTCCCTTCATTAACTCTCAGCAGTGTGACCTTCTCTGACCCGGTGGGGTGGTCGTGGTTCATGTACTCACCGCCATCAGGGTCCTGTTCCGACTCTGCTCCGCCTTCGTGCCTCCTCCCTCCCCGGGCTCCGCCGCTGCTCCGCCGCCGCCGCCGGGCGCTCTCTGTCCGGCCTGGTCGCCGCTAGGCTGGGGCTGCCGGTGCTTGCTGGCCCGCTTGGCTTTGGTCTGCTGCAGGCGCTGGTGCAGGATGAGGGTCTGCTGCCTCTCCAGCTCCATCCGCTCCTGCGTGGCGCCGTCGTAACGGGTTTCGCACCTGTTGTGATGCTGCCGGAAGAGCTCGACCCTCCGGCGGAGCCGCTCCATCACCGCGCTGTGTCGCGGTGTAACAAAATCCGCCATCATCAGTAAAGACTCGTAGTAAACTTCCAGCTCAGGTTTCGTCCATAAAAAGCTGAATGTGGCTCTTTATACACCCCCCCTGGCCCTGCACTTCACTGCTGGCTCCATGGAGGTCTCTAACGGCCTTCAGTCTCTCACTGCCGGGAGGAAAAGTAAGGGTTTTGGGTAAAACTCCATCCAGCTCCTCAGCTTGTCTACATCAGCTCATTTAACTGGCTGTGTAGGAGCCACACTTTAAACTTTAACTCACTCTTTAGCAGTCAGTTATTTAAATAAAAACAGTTTTAAAACAACAAACTCAGGCTGACTTTAATCAGCTGCTGTCTCTTTGAATCAGTGCGTTTAATTAACAACAAAAAGGGTTTATTTTTAGCTTAAATCTGTTGAATTCTTCAACTCGCGGTCAGCTTGTTAGCACATTCCTCCACTCAGAAATCAAAGTCTGTCTCCGGGAAAAAAAGGCACCAGAACCGGACTGCTGGAGACCCAGAACCCGGCAGCTCCGGGCCGTGTCTCGCTCCGTCTGTTAGCTTTAATCTGACTGTTGTTTGGAGAAATGAAACGGCTCTCTGACTCAAACAAAACTTTTCATTTAGCTCTCTGTGTCGGGAGTTAGCTCGGTTAGCCAAGGAGCTAACACAACTTTAAACTGAACAACTCCCTGTTTCAGCTGAAGTTTACACTCAACAAACGGGACACTTTCAACCTGCTCTTTTCTAAGGGAGTAGTTATGGATTAAACTCACTTATTGTAGGAGTGTTTCTGTCCGCGGGTCCTACAGCAGCATCTGTCCGGAGAACAGCTGACCCTCCTCCGCCTCTGTGTAGCCGTTAGCCGCTGGGTTCTGGGTCTGAAACGCCTGAATAAATCCTCATAGTTTAAATGTCCAGAGTCGCCGCCACGGATATGCCTCCTTCAGGCCGAGCCCGGGTCGGGATGTGTGCGGTTCGAAGCGAGCCAGAGCGGGTTAATCACCTCCCTCGGCGCCGCTTCTATTGTTTTCCAGTGAACAGCCTTCTACGTACGCCATCTTGGAAACTTTCTCTTTTCTTCCATCAGCGAAGGGAATGTCCCTGCGCCCGCGTCACGGTGACTGTCCACCAATCAGCGACAAGGACTGGAGCTCTGCGCCCGCCTTTCGCCTTGATTGACAGCTAAATAAACCAACAGCGAGAGGAGAAATATCCAAGCTCCCGCCTCTCACAGACCCTGAGGGCAGAAATCCATTACGACACGGGGCGTGGCCATAAATATGACTGGCAATACCGCCGACCAATCAGAAGGTAACCTTTTTCCAGTTGTAGTAAAAGGAATCCCTTTTTAAGAGTGGACATTTTCAAATAATACAATCATATTCCAAGACCTGGATTTTTTTAAATTAAATTATATTTTTGGGAAAAAGTAAACATTAGGATTGTCAGGAACATAGAACCCCAAAGACATTAAAAACATTTATATTCCTTGTTATAATGAGGAACCTGTTTGATCACAAATAACAGGTTGGCCACAATAAAAAATAAACTTAATGTTTTTTTTAAATTACACTTAATGCATTTAAACACTAAGCTTCAGGTGATGTTCAGAGAAATGTTAAATGAATTAAGAACAAAAGCTTTTATTTTGGAAACCTGAAGACAAACGGAATCTCTCAGCATTTTACAAAGTAAAACTATTTAAAGAGCATTCATTCCCCATATATTTTAATCAATTTTAGTCATAAGAAACGTTTGAATACAGTCAACCATTTTTGTTTTATTTTGTACGAGACAACACAGAGACACTCGGGGGAACCTTCGGGTCCGTTTGGCCTTTTTTTAATTCATCAAAACAAACGTTTACTGCGTGTGTACAGACACACAAACATCAGGCTCCATCATCACAGTGTTTCCATTCAAAGCTGGACCTTCCCGCAGCGCCACAAACCATTACAGGTGACCAAATACAACGCAGCAGATACAGTGTTCAGTCTACAGTGAGCGAGGCGGCTTCAGCCCGACGCACCAGAACAGAATCCACCCAATCAGATCACGACAGGATGAAGAGGAGGAGGAGGAGGAGGAGGAGGAGGCTCAGGGACCTGCTGTTCATCAGCTTCATTAATAATAATAAAAAAACATGTTCTAAACCTCTAACAAACAAAATATAAATCAGTTTTTGTTCTCCACTAATGAAACCTCTGAACGTAAAGTTAGTGATTTGTCATTAAATGTAACAAAAGTTATTTTAACTGTATTTAATCATTTCACAGCTAACTAATATAAAAACACTTAAAAGTAAAAGTTGGCATGGAAATGAGGAAAAACCCTAAAAATAAGAAATACGTTGATTGATTGAGTTTTTGGAGAACTCCACTTCAGGTTTTATTACGATGGATCCTTTATTAGTCCCAATTATAACATTAACTTTATTTGATGAAAAATCTTTTATTTTCTGAACTTATAACTGAAATTGAAAGCTCAGAGACGAGTCCAAACGCTCAGAGACGAGTCGAAAGCTCAGAGACCAGTCTGAACGCTCAGAGACGTGTCTGAAAGCTCAGAGACAGAGTCCTAAAGCTCAGAGACGTGTCTGAAAGCTCAGAGACAGAGTCCTAAAGCTCAGAGACCAGTCTGAACGCTCAGAGACCAGTCTGAACGCTCAGAGACGAGTCTGAAAGCTCAGAGACGAGTCTGAACGCTCAGAGACGAGTCTGAAAGCTCAGAGACGAGTCTGAACGCTCAGAGACCAGTCTGAAAGCTCAGAGACCAGTCTGAAAGCTCAGAGACCAGTCTGAAAGCTCAGGACTCAGGAGCAGCTCCCCTTTAGGTGCCGCCTCTTTAAAAGGTGGGTCTGAAGGTGATTTTGGACCTCAGAATTAGCAGAAACACTGAGACGAGTCACAGGCAGTAACTGTTGGACAAACAGAGAAACAACAGAAGAAATGTCGGAGTGTTCCCAGCTCAAATATTCTCAAATCTCTAATGACGGGTGAGTTTAGGCAGCTAGCAGGCTAACTGATCRGCTCTAGAGACGTTAGTAGTTAGCTGTCTGTGGCTTGGTTAGCAGTCGGTCTGTAGGCCAGCGTTGTGCTGACCGGTCGGTGGAGCCGGCGGTGCCTCGGCCCTGCAGCCCTCAGCCGGCGTGGAGGAATGACGCAGCAAGTTTAGTGAATCTCAGTTACAAAAATCCTTCACAGTCTCACTAACTCAGCCCGGTGCACACTGGAATCATCGTCAGGAGGAGGGGACCAGGAAGACGGAGAGATGGAGAGTAATTTTCTGTTGGCTTCGCTGCTTCCACTGGATCCGTCAAGCTTCATCGCCTCAGAGCAGAGGAGGGGGG